TAATATATATATTAGTATAATATATTATACTAATAATATAATAGTATAATATAATAAATATAATATAATATTATTATTAATTTATAATATTAATATTATACTATATATTATAACATTATATTATATTAATTAGTATAATATATTATACTAATATATATATTAAATTAATATATATGTATATAGCATATGTATAGCACATTATCGTTATCGTTGCTAATAACAAAAAATCTTAATTTGTTATTTTTTATTGTTATTTTATTCTATTATTTACTAAATAAAGGACAACGTAGGATGCACATTCATCGATTAAACGAATGGAATATGTGCGTGTGTCCCTCAAACGATTTAACTCGTTTTCGTGTACAATCAATTGCAAACAATTCGCACGAGACGATAACAATATAATAAATTAGATTATGTTCATTATGTTCATGTATGTTCATGTATGTTCATGTATGTTCATTATATAAATAATCATTTTTGCCGCAATATTTTATGCAAATATATATCCGATGTGCATTAATTGTAAAAGAAAAAAGAAAAAAAAACAAACAAACAAACATTTATGCATTGCAACAGAGAAACAAACAAACAAACAAAAAAAAAAAGAAAGAAAAAAACTAAATACAAACTATAGTCGTATTTTTCTAAACATTTATACAACACAATCAACAACAACAACAACAACAATAACACAAAATGAATACTACTATTTTACTTATCTCTCCATTTTTTCTATAACTTCTTCAACTTTTTCTTCTTCTTCTTCTTCTTTTACTAAAGTTTTAATATACAACCGACCATATAGAAATAATCATAAAGGAAGAATGTTTGTTTGTTTGTTTCTTTTGTTGTTGTTATTGTTGTTTATATAAAATACTTTGAACTAAGGACTTTGATCTAAAGTAGAACTTTATCTAAATATATGTGGAAGTTTGGAATAATTAAAAATTCATTATAAAGAAGACCAACCAGTGTTTTGTTTGACTAAATACTAAGCGTACAACAATACTTCCATGAGAGTTTATGATAATAATATAAAAAAAAAAAAAACACAAAAATATAATCTAGAATTTATATACAGTGTAATCAAAATATTTGCTCATCCTAAACAAGGGTTTTGTTCATTGAATGAAACAAATTTTGAGAAGTCCTGATCTAAAGTCTTTATCTACTATTCTGTGTGATTACTTTTATATACGTAGGTTTGAACTATTTATTCACAATCGATACAAAAGTGTTACATGTTTGTACCTGTTACTGTGCTTTAAAGTAGTCACCAGTGTTGTGTAGAACCCGTTGCCACTAATTTGCAAGGCTTGAGCCTGTTCTGTTGATGGCGCGAATGAAGATGTCTACTACCTGTCAAATCTCTGGAACAATTCTGTAGCAAATGCCACGATGGGTTTCGCATGAATTGATGGAAATGCAGAAATGGATGCATTACGACGCTGCTCAGACCCACCTGGAGCGCTATGAACGCGGAGAGGCTTTCTTACGCCATATCGTAATACTGGATGAGACATGGCAGTAGACCACTCCATTTGCACCATCAACAGAACAGCAAGCTCTGCTAACGCTGGCAATGGGTTCTACACAACGCTGATGACTACTTTGAAGAACAGGTAACAGGTACAAACATGTAACTCTTTTGTATCGGTTGTGAATAAATAGTTGGCACTATTTTAGTTTCAACCTAACGTGTATGTATATACCAAAGGAATGCACGCGATCGAACAGTTTTACAATCTGTCAAAATTCAATATTTAATTAATGAGAATTAAACGAAACAACATTGTTTAAAAAAAAAAAAAAAAAAGAGAAAAGTAACAATATGATTATATTATTTTTGTTTTGTTTCTTTTTGTATAAAGCATCAAATAATATAAAAGATCGAAGATTTGCGGGAAGAAACATTGAAATAATATACAAAACTTAAAAAAAGGCTTGCTTTTGTGAAGAGAAAACTATGATGAACTTCATATAAATCGGTAATATATATATATATATATATGTGTATATCATCGTTTATATATCCTCAGCACTGATGTATATACAAACCACTTGCGATAAATATTTTGTTTGTTTTTTGTTTTGTTTTGTTTGTTTGTTTAAATATCCATTATATATACATGTGGGTATGTGTGTGTGGTAACGATATTACAATTTTCATTGTTGTTTTTTTTTCGTTTGATCATTCTAATCCCGGAGAATTATACGACATGTATTTTTGTTTGTTTTGTTTGTTTGTATGTATATATAGGCTCTATTCGGTATTAAAAGATGCATTGAAACAAAAATCCTTCTTGCATTCTTCTAACTAACACACGTTTTCATTCTGTTTTCATTCTGTTAATTGTAAATGATATTTTCTTATCTACATATACGAGACCTATTTATATGTGGTATCTTTAATTAATGTAAAGAAACGTATGACGACCCTAATAGCACAAAATATTGAATAAATATTGAATACATGTTTATTTAATATTACAAAAAGAGACATTGAAAAAAAAAAAAA